GCCAAGCAGCATCAGAGCAGCAGGAAAGCTGATGTTTTGGGCCTCGACCCTTCTTCAGAAGAAGGGTCTGAAGAAGGGTCTAGGCCCGAAACGTCAGCTTTCCTGCTCCTCTGATGCTGCTTGGCCTGCTGTGTTCATCCAGCTCTACACCTTGTTATCTCAGATTCTCCAGCATCTGCAGTTCCTACTATCTCTCCTCATCACCAGCAAGTAATTTGTATGTGAAATGGTAATTTGGCCTTTACTGTAACAGTATAATTTGTTTTAATTTATCTCATATTGTCACACGTATGGAATACAATGGAAAGTATTGTTTTGTGTGCTATCCAGACAAATCATACCTGACATAAATACAGCAGGGTAATAGAACAGAATGCAGAATACAGTGTTACAGCTACAGAGAAGGTGCAGAGAAAGATCAACTCTAATTTAGAGAGGTATTTTCATAAGTCTGATAGCAGCAGGGAAGAAGCTGTTCTTAAATCTGTTGGTACGTGTTTTTAGTATAACATCAAGAGAAAGAAAACTCTTGATCAAGTATCACTGCGATAGATTTTCCTGATTTGCACAATTCAGTCACTAGCTAAAATCCATTTATTTCTCTGTTACAATGATGAGCTCAAAGTTAATTCCCAGGAATTTTCAAATTAATTCAAACATTTTCGACAAACTGGAGAATCATTGCATTTATAAAACAATAAAACCAGGATATGAATGAGTTGCATTTGCTCTCCCTGTCCTTAACACCCCAGTATCAGGCTGCGCCCCCTCCGGACCTCTGTAAAACCGGGGTGGGCGGGGTTTGAGCAGTTGATGAGCAGTCCAGTGAAGGTCCTGGCTACTGAAGCTCTGTAAGAATACTTGAAATAAGGACAGGGTAAAAGGGAGGAATACAGAGAATACAGAGTAGTACTCACACTGCGAGGTTGAAAATCCTCTTCCTGTAAACCCCACTGCTCCCGATAAAACCGATAATAGACCAGATTCTGCTTCATGATTTCATCTTGTGGGTCAAAGAGCATGTAGGTAGCTACACAAGGCACTGCATTCTTAATATCATTCACTGTGCAAACAGACAAGAATTATTCCCCATTAAAACAAAACCAAAACACTGAGGATGCTGGAAATCTGAAATAAACATAAAAATACTGACAGAAGTAGTCAGTCATGGGCCTGAACTGGTTTGGAAGCAGGAAGAGAAATCTTGACCAATCTTGAGCAATCTTCCCCAGCCATTACTTACTTGAGGCAGGGAGGAGATTAGGGGTAGTTCTGAAGAAGGGTCCCAACCCGAAACATCAGCTTTCCTGCTCCTCTGATGCTGCCTGGCCTGTGTGTTCCTCCAGTTCCACACTGTGTTATCTCTGACTCCAGCATCAGCAGTTCTTACTATCTCCCAGGGGTAGTTGAGGAGTCTTGTGTAGCAGCTTAAACATCACCCGACTCCCAACCAAGCCTGCTCCTGGTCTCAAGGCATTCATCTCACCCTGTCAGGGTTTATTAGTTTTCGGAGAGAGAGATCACTATTCAGCACTTGGTTGTGCATTTTCTGTTTTTTTGTTTATTGATAGAAGATCGACTTAGGAGAAGTGGGGACATTTTCAGGATGGCAACATGTGCCAAGGATTATTGTTGGGGTAATATATGTGTACATTTACAAGAAATATTAATAATTTGGATGTCAGAGGTGACTGTGCAATAGCCAAATTTGCACACAGCACAAAAATAGGCGGGAAAGCAAGTACTGAGGATGACACAAGGTCTGCAGAGGGATATAAACAGGTTTAAGCAATTGGGCAAAAACTTGGCAGATGGAATAGAGTGTAGAAAAATGTGAGGTTCTGTACTTTGGCAGGAAGAATGAAGAAGATGAATTTTATTTGAATAGAGAAAGACTGCAGAAAGTTGAAGCACACAGGGATTTGAGGGTCCTCACACATTTATCACAAAAGACAGGATACAGGTTTAGCAGCTATAGGGAAGGTAAATGAAATGTTGGCCTTTATTTCAAACTGAGTGGTATATATAAATAGGGAAGTCTTTTTGAATCTATACAAGGCAGGAGTTGAGGATTATCAGATCAGCCATGATCTCATTGGATGGCAGAACGGACCTGATGGGCTGAATGGCCTACTCTGCTCCTATATCTTATGATCTCCATTGCACTGAGATTTTCAATTTGAAACAATTTGCTCCCAGTTCTATATACCTGACATGTACAGTGTAAATATGAAGAATATTACAATTGCACAAGGGACTGAAGAGTGGTACATGCTGCAGGCAGACAAGGTGAATTTTATTGCACTCTTTAATCTTCAAGTCAAAATATTTTATTATGTACTTTCACAAATTTTATGAATAAAGTATACTTTTGCAAAATAAATGAGCAGGTATACTCACGTTTGTAATACGCAAACTGTAGGTAATGATACATAGTTGCAACAAACTTCTCCACAAAGAATCCACCAACATTGGGAGTTAAATTCTGGTCACATTTCACTTTGCATTTCAGTGTTTCTACGTAATGATCTGTGAGCAGATAATCACCAGAATCACAGACTGCAGGCAATCCCTCAGTACCTCGTGAGGCAGAGTTTAAACACAAGGAACAGATATGTCATACATGCAGAAGTATTCCTTATTAAAACAGACTGACGTTTGTTTAAGATAACAAGGTGTAGAGCTGGATGAACACAGCAGGCCAAGCAGCATCATAGGAGCAGGTAGGCTGACGTTT